TATATATATAGATGAAAATATGTATCATTTTAATTATACGGCATGCTCTTGGTTATTATGCTAATATTTGAATCAGAATTGTACTATGAATTGTGAACTAAGGCGCATTCAGAGAAAAAAAATTTCGTCCGGAGTTTGGATGAAAGCTGCGTCCGGATAACGGCTGCAATCAAATGGAGCTTTTTTTTTTTTCTCTTCCGCTCCTTCCAATGGATCGCAACCATTCTCTAGACACAGCTTGCATCCAGACTCCAAACGTAATATTTTTTTTTTTTCCGCTGAGAGAGGAGATGAATTGCACGTGCAATGCGTCACATTGAGCTTCCTTAAATGTTATGACTTAGAACTCTCATTATAATACATTGTCAAATAAAGGAATTAATAAAATACACAAAACTAAACCATACTAAGTGTACAAATAGCACAAAATATAATAACCATAACACTTATATTGTGCCCAACAATAAACTTCTTGATTCTTATACATTCATACATCATATAAACTTTACTTTTCACATTTCTACCCACTAGAATTTTATGTCGAGCCAAAGATACCATTAATGGAGTTGTTTACGTATGAACCAAGTGATAAATATGTAAAGCCAATGGAAGTCACTTGTTTAATATGCAAGCACGTATAAGATCATATGGCATACATTTGGATTTCCAAATGTGGGACTAACAATAGCATGAGATGGCAATAATTTACATAAGTTCATTTAGAAATGCTTATTCAGTTAGCTTGGTTTCGACAACATGTAACAAAATTTAGAGGAAATTAAATCACGTTAAATGAATTCTAAACATGAATGAATATCAAATAATCATTCCTTAGTGGCACTTGCAAATTTCATATGATTATTATGTTATTTTAATCAAATTACATATCTATGTATTCAATTAAAGAAGTGAGGGTTTGAATTCACCATGTTTCTTTTTCGTTTTTCTTGAAGTTTATTGCAATTTAATCAAAAAGAAATCAAAAAAGGAAAAGAAAGAAAAAAGCCCTTGTTGAATGAAGTAATCCACTAATCAACCGAATAACGAAAAGGAAGAAGAGGAAGAGATCCTTACTCCTGAATAACTGAAAGAAAAGAAAAGAAGTTTTGCTTTTGAATGATCGGAGAAGGGAAAATAGAGTCCTACACAACCAAAAAAATTGGAGATGTCGATTAGGGCTTCTGTTGGAGGGATATTTATAGTCGGAGAAGAAAGATAGCTTGTCTCAAAAGCTACCAGTGGTGAAGTCCTGGCCGAGAGAATGTTGCATGTGGGAGAGGGGAAGGTTAGGGTATTGTCGGTTAGGACACACGAGGGAGAGCTTGTCAGGGTAAGGTATGCGTAGAATTCTGTCTCATAGGAGATAATGGATTGGCTAGGGCATGTAAATGAGAGAATAAGGAGGAGGCAGTGTGATAGTTATCGTGAATGAGAGGGAGAGGGGGCACGTGAGTTTTTAAGGCTATTTTTTTTTTTTTTTTACATAGTTATTTTTTAAATATTTAATTTTGAATGTTTAGATATGTTTGTTATTTGCACGTACATGAAACCATAACAATGTGGATGTCTTCTTAAGTTAAATTCTACGTTACAGACGCACTCGCACGGTTTGTTTCATCATTCAGGGTCGTCTGGACAAATTCGTCAGCAATCAAGCCAATTTGAGCCAGTTTATCGAGCAGCGTAGCGAACGATATTGGTTGATCCAATCAGAGTCGTCACAAAAGCAAAATGTGGGCCAGTATTTGCCTAGGAGAGAGCCGAAGTGTAGCAGAACAATTACAGCAATGTGGCTCTTGACATACGTTGAATGGTATTCTTAGGGCTTCTCCAATCCTTTAGGAACTCAATTTGAGTTTCAATATGTTGGTTTTAATCGACTCAACTAAATGTTGAGGATTCAAAACCACACATATGAGACTAGAAGAAGTTAAGAAGTGGTTTGAATATTCAAAGTGGTGTGGGTCCCAATACTAGTCTTTTAGGAGAGTCAGCAAGAAAGTCCTATTGCTCAATCCTAGGCTCTAGAGAGAGACAGAGACAGGCCTCATAAAAATGAGGTCAATAAAAACATTCCCAAATTAAATCAAGGGTATTTATTTAATTTAATTGATTTATATATCTTATAAATACTGAAAATCAAAATATAGGAAATCAAATATCCCATAGTACTTGAAACGTTTATATGTGTGAATAAAATATTCAAGTGATTTTTTGAACTATCAAATTGATGTATTTACTCGTGTCTCCACCAAACCAGTAAGAATTTGATAAAAATAGGAAATATAAGTTTGGCAGTTTTATCATGAATTTTGATATTAAGATGAAAATTTTAAAAATAGATGAAAGAGGTGTAATGAAAAATATTAAAATCTAATTGTTATAATTTAAAATTTGTGTATGTTAAAAAAATTGAAATTAGGTAATCTAATTCAGGATAATCTAATTATTAATTTGTCTATATTATGAAAATCTAATTTGAGGAAAGGCGACTATTTATTTTTTCTATATTTAAAATATTCATGATTTATACTATTATTTATATGTGATACATTTTCAACAAATCTCTATCATTCGATATGTATCTGAATGCATAACATACATCTCGAGATGACTTTTTGAGTGACAAATATTTAAACCTCGATAAAAAACTCATCCATAATTCTAATTTCAACAAACTTACAGTCAAATTGAGCATCTCGACAAGAAGAACCCAATTTTACGGAAAATAGTTCAATCCGAGTCAAATCAACCTCAGATCAAGTCATTAAACCAAACTTGAAAGTTTTCTGGATATATTCAGAAGGTTAAACGAATGTCGAATCTAGCAAGCTTATAATTAAATCAAGCGTCTCGACACGACGAATCCAATGAGCCCAAGATTGTTCAATTCTGACATCGCTCAGGCACTCAAATGTCCCAGCAAACATCGTATGACCAAAAGAAGCTCTCTGGACAGTCCAATCAAAGTGGTTCATATTCATGCATTCATTGCGCCCAAAAAACTATAAATAGAGCACAACCCTTCTCATCAGAGGGGGTTGGAGGCTCGAGAGAACTTAAAGCTTTAAGGAGCTGAAGTCTAGCACCACCAATCACCGTTGATCGAAATCATTGACAATCGCCGACCGCAGGCGATCACCGATCGCAGAACGCAACAGTCGTCGACCGCTAACCACTATCGATCACTACTAATCACAGTCGACCACCTCCTATCAAAAATCGTTAGTCGACGTTATAACTTGAAAAACCTAATAATTCATTTTTGTGTGTGGGAATAGAGCTCTCTGTAATCAACCTATAGTGAATTTTTATATATGTATCAAACCCCGTGATTTTTTTCCTTTTAAGTGTTTTTCATATAAAAACTTCATATATCATTATTGGTTGTTTTCTTTTACCTGAAAGTATGTTAAATTCTCGTGCAACGCTAAGACAATGATTCATTACTATGCGAGACTATGAAAAATTTAAGTGAATTGAATTGTGAGTGTAATTCGGCCGATTTTTTTCTCATTGATATAAGAAAAAATTATGTTCAAGCACATAAATCCCAATGCATTTAATTATTTTTTATTATAAAATTTATTTTCGCATTATTTTGCAGAAAAAAGAACGTGCCTGATAATTTCCCAAAAAAAAAAATTGTAATAATTATTATAAATGCACAGAGAGTTGTGGGATAAAATTTGAAGACTTGTCAGGCCAGAAAATCCAGACGAACTCCCGAAGGCGCTCGGACCCCGCAGAAGCCACCAGATCAACTCCAGAACCGGTTAGTTACCTTCGCCGTTCCGTGTACTGCAAACAACAGCGGATCAAGACACCATCAGTGACCGGTGACGCATCCGTCACACCCGCCCGTCTTGGCGGGGCCCACTAAGAGAAGACCGCACCGCAGCTTACTTTTCCGTGTCGAACCGGCTTAGGTCACGTGACACATGTCGTACGGTCACGTGTTTACCCTTGGCTTTCGTCCCGCCCTGATCCGCTGCTCGGCCCCCACAGCCAGCGCCGCAATCCTTCTTCGTCGACTAATTCATCATTCCAGAACGGCCCCCACAGCCAGCGCCGCAATCCTTCTTCGTCTTCCTCGCGACTAATTCCTCATTCCAGAGAGAGAAAATAAAGGCATCCATGGTGTGGAGGTAGCATAGAGAAATTGGGGTCTCCTGTTCACTCAATTATACCAATTTGAGCATTTCTAAGCTCCAAATTTCTAACCTAAGCATTGATATTCAATTTCTCAGAAAGTTAGGAAAAAAAAAAATCAAAATTTATCATTATGTTCTGATGCAGATGCAGAGCATGAGAAGCTGAAGAACAAAAAAATCCTGTTTTTCGCATTTAACAAGGCAGAGAGAAAAAGAGAAAAGGACGCAGCTATTCAAATCATTCAATTTATCTCATGCTTTAGAGAACTTAGTCAATTACATAACGCAGACAGAAAAACCGGAAGAAGAGTGCTCATATTATAAAATTGAATCGGAGATCAATCAAATGGCAACTCAACCCTTTTCTCCTGATCAGGAAGAAGACGACGAACACACCAGCCCGAGAGAGAGAGAGAAAAGAAGAAGAAGAAGACACAATACCCCCAATTTCATAACGCCAAAAACCTCATCTTGATCAAGTAAACGAAGAAGACAAAACTTCTGAGGACGAAACAGGAAACAGAGGAAGCAATCTTGGAGGCTCATGCGTCGTCCTCGGTGAAGGAAGAAAGTAAAAACCTTTCTCAGCGATGGCTCGCTCCTCCGCCTTCAACACGTCGCGATCGAAAGGATCGGAGTTCAACGGAGTAACGGGGCTTAAGGCCAGCGATGGCAGATCTAGCATACTCGGCGACAAGATCTCCGTCATCTTCCTCGGGGAGAAAGCCGCGGCGGCCGGAGAATTAGGGTTAGATCTTCCGGCGAAGGACGGGATCATCGGACTGATCATTTTTAGATTCTTCATGCTACCCCTTCGTTCATAGAGCTTGAAAGCTGGCTTCTTGGGACCCGTCGTCTTCCCCGCCGGCGAGATCGAGGTTTTCGGCGCAGCAGCGGTTTGCTTCGCGCCGGTGAGCATCTGGACTACTTGCTTGAAGGAGGAGGTGTCTGCTTGGATGAAAGTAGTCGGGTATGGGTTCGAGTCGATGGGTAGTCTCGGGGTTGACTTGGGGGTCGCCGGCGCGACTGATAAAGGCGCCGCCTTTGGAGGCAGAGAAGCTCCATTGCTGCTGCTGCTGCT